AGTTGCCCTAGCTGTAACTGCTGGGGACTGTTTCAGGTATAGAAATCAGCAGTAGACACAATGCTTCAGGCATCAAGAGAGAGAAAGTATATTTTCTAAACACATCCCATGTGCTGGCAGGAGCCAGGAATAGAGGCTGCAGCCTGCTGGCTTCTTGGCTCTCTGAACCATTGCCTCTCTGAACAGAATCAGACCTCTGTCTCTCTTTCTAAGCTGGAACTTGACTTTAGCAACTTTTAATGGAATTAATAGGTAGGAACACCAGTTAAAACCAACTTCTGGCAGTGCTGGCTTGCCAGCCTGTCATATTTTCATGGGCATCCAAATTAAGAGTGTATTAATTTCCTCAATTTACTATAAATGGAATTAATGACAGGCAATTTGGGGACTTGGAGAAACACAGATGCCAATAGAAGAAGCCACATCTTTCATATTTTATGATTGTTTCAGTCATCACATATGGAGACTAAAGATGAGAGTGTAGATTGATTTTCTGTTATCATCATCATACCATGAGGTATTGTTCTTACAATTGCTATTAGTCAGGGACTGAGATATTTTAAAAGAAAATAAAAATCTAACATGTGTTCCTGCCCCAGAGTTTCCCTCTTCTCTCTGGTCTTTTCTTTAAGGACAGATCTGAAAGTCCAGGCACACTTTAGAATAAAAGTAAGCTATATTTTTTTTGGTCTTGCTGCCAACAAACTGTAGAAGGAAGTACCATTTCTTTTGGCATGGAAGACTTTCAAGTTTTCTCTTCCGTTTGAGGAACATGGTTCAAATATAAGTAGACTTCCAGCTATAGGTGGTACTTGGGTATAGTATTTATAAAAGGTTCACATGAATGAGGTAGTTTACATCCCAAAGTCACGTGTCTCTGAGAAGACTCCTGCAAGAGCATTTACAAGTGTTTCCACTGCTATAAAGTGGTTTGAAACTCCTCTGTGGGCAGAAGCTTGTTGCAGTAATATTGTTTGACTCAGAGTAGGAGGCTGGCTATGGTTCTGAACTTCTTTGGCTTGGGGTCAATGATGTTTCCTCTCTGTAATTAATGTTTCTTTTTTTCAAATATAGAGACTAGTAATCTCCAATCTCTCTTCACACTGAGCTCCATCCGCAGTTCTTTTTAAAAGTTTTGGTGCTTTTTGATTTTGAGACAAGGTCTTACTAAGTTGTTCAAGTTGAGTTTGAATTGGTGATCCTTTTGCCTTAACCTCGCACAGTGCTATGATTACAGGTGTGCACCACCACATCCTGCTCAAATTTTTCTTTTTGATTCTATAAATTGCTTTTGAAGTCAGATTACAGGCATGAAGGAAAAATGTGATCCTAAGTTTAGACAAGTTGTATGGTTAATTTTATAGCAGTGTTTAACAGATATATCTATATGCTTGGACCTTCTTAAGATGCTTGTGAAAACAGATGGATACTAGGGTCTTGAGATTATAATTTGGTAGATTTTTTGGCTAAAATGTTTATTTAAAAAGACCCTATTGGTGTGTGTGTATGTATGTGTGCATATGTGCATGTGCATGCATATCAAAAAATGGAATTATGAGGAGCTTCAGAGGGTTAGAATAATATGAAAATATTCTTTTCCATGTTTGTTTGGGAAACTCAACCACCTGATCTATAGGAACAGGCACAGAGCTACTTAGAGCAGCTATGTCTTGATACGTGCAGGATCAGAGTAGATAGAGGAGTTGCTGGTGTATAAAGAATAAAAATACCAGCTGATGGAGAAGAGTAACAGGCCTTTGATGAGTCCTGAATTAGAAGTCAGAAGACTTAAATTCTTTTCCCACTGTCGTTTATTTACTTGGCCTTGGACAAGCCATATAAGGTCTCTGGAGCACTCCTGTTTGCTATCAGAGTAGGCTCTATAGTGCACCCAGAGATCCCCACAGCTATGAAGACTCGACTTCCCAGATTCTAGAGGTGCCCTGCAGGATGGGCCTCAGCATGGAGCTTTTCTTGTGTATGGCCTTTCTTGGGCTATGCTCTTACAGAACAGCCTGAGATTATGACCCATCAATACCAACCTCCCTTTGACAGCCACTGACAGTTCTGTCCCAGAAACCTGTTTTCGAGCTCTGTGCAGGATTAGCCAGGCTTAGTTGGGGCTGGTCACAGTTCACCTCTTTGCTGTGCTGTATTCTGTTTCCATCTTCTCCCGTCCACCCGTATGAATTAGTAAAGCACTCACTGCTGGAGGCCTTTGTATACAGAGCTGTCCTAAGAAACCAAACCAGGAACACACAGACAAGTTGAATATCCCTTTTTTGAAATAGTTGAGACCAGAAATATTTTGTATTTCCAATTGGTGTGTGTGTGTGTGTGTGTGTGTGTGTGTGTGTGTGTGTGTTGGAAGCGTAGACTAAATACACAGTGAGTTATCTTGGGAATGGGATACAAGTGTAAACAGGAAGTTCATTTATGTTTGCACAAACTTTGCTCACATAACCTGAGAGTAATTTTACATATTTTAGTACACTTGCATTCAACTGCAGGACATCATCTGGGTGAGAATTTTTCACATGTGACATCATGTCAGCTTTCAACTAGTTCAGATTTGGGGGGCATTTCGGACATTGGCATTTTGAATTAGAGATAAAGAACAGCCACCATTTACTGTGTACTTACTATAGGTCAGAAAAAGCATCTTTTGTGTATATAGTCCTGTTTTCTCCTTGAAATTGTCCTATCAGGTAGAAATTCTCATCTCCTTTGAGAATAGTTTTGTGCACTAAAGAGAAAACACTTTCTATAAGTCCATTTGGCTATTACAAAATAGTGTGACTACTATTTATAAATTTTAACTGAACAGATTTTTTGAAGCTCTCCAGCACACCCGCCTTGGTGACATGAGCTCCAGTGCCTGAGTTGGGGGTTTGTGGTCTGAGCAGCAGTGGATTCCATACACAGCTCAGCTTGCATGCTTTGGTGCACCCAGGAATGACAGGAAGTCATTTTTGATGGCCTGCAGCCTGAAATTTATATTTTAAAAGACTACACTACCTCTATGGAGCTAGAGAACTCTAATATTAAGCTAAACATTCTTGGCTAAGCATATCCATCTTGGTTTTGCCTTAAATCCAAGTTAAAATTTTATGCCATTTTTCACCAAATTCTATCACAATCCCCTAAGAAAGTACAGCTGTTGGTTAAAAGTCATTTTTAAAGCCCCTTTTAAATCAAACACCAGGAGGCTTTCTGCCAATAACTTTTTTAAAAACAGAATCAACTCTAAAATCATCTATACTCTCAACAAAGGACTCATACCTATCAGTCAATATTCTCTGCACTGCACACAAATAATGCGTGCTGTGGTGACTTGTGCAACCAGAGCCTGTTCCTTTCATGGGCTTTTCTGTAGCCAGTCCACATGGTGGGTGTTCAGAACACTGTCTTCCTAAGCGCTGGAAAATCTCATCTTTAGAGTGGTTGCACACAAATGTGTGGGGAGGCCTGGGATTTTCTGCCTTCTTGCAGACTGAAGTTTAGATATGGATGGTGTTTTCTGATTCAAACCCAAGAACATGGTGGATAACATCTATGATGCTGGCAGGTTGTAGCCTGTGGAATGTGCAGTGCAGTTATTATTTTGGGGACAAAGAAAATCTGGCAAAATCTGCATACTGAAATTTGCAGATATATTCTGGAAAAGGAGCTCAAGGAGTTAAATAGAGGGAATCATATGAATTCCTATCCCTTCAAAATTTACTTATTCATGAAATGCATGCTTATTTGGTTTTTGTTAGGTTCCAAACAGTGTTCTAGGTAAGGGTAGAAAGACACAGAGGCTGCCTCTTTGAAATCTATGGCAGTATACTAAATGAACAGGATGTAATTGTGTCGGATACTCTGGACACTCAGGAGCAAATGGGACAGAGATCAAGAATAATAGGAGTGGGGGACTGGGATCAGGAACCATTAAGACTGGGTTGTTCCTGAGGGTTTTCTTAGGAGATGGTCTCAGCATAGGCCTGGGGAGAGGGAGAGGAGTGAACCCAGTGAGGAGCACCAACTATCCCCCAGACAGAGTCCCGCACACGTGAAACTCTGACAGGAGAAGCTCCAGAGGAGGCACAATGTAAGTGGCCTGTGGCATGTCTTAGTCAGTGTAATAAATGCGGGGCTTCACAAGTGGTCCCTGCAGCTTGCTGACACGTGCTTTCCAGGAGGTGGGATTTGTGCATGTCACCCGCATGTTACTTTAAGCTTCATGTGAAAAAAGTCATTCATGATATTACCTAGGAGTTAAAATAATGAACTTGGCTGGTAAAGCTCTCCGAATTGAGTAGAATCATTTCTGAATATAGATTTCCTGATGTGTAAAACTGAGACAATAAGATTTTCCTGCAGTAAAGTCATTTATTTAATCCCTCTTTGGTTGTCTTTCATAAAGAATCAAGACAAACTGAGTGTGGTGGTACAGGTCTGTAATCCCAGCATCTGGGAAGCTGAGGCAGAAGGAAGCAAGTTCAAATCCAACCTGGGCAATTTAGTAACTTAGTGAGTTCTTTCCAAAGCCCTAAGTGCAATCTCCAGTATCACAAGAAGAATAACCGAAAAAGGAGGAAGAGGAGGAAAAAGAGGAGGAGCAGGAGAAGGAGCAGGAGGAGAAGGAGAAAGGGGAATCGAAGAGGCAAATGGCGGCTGAAACATTGGTTTATGAGATGTAGCATGAGCAAGGCCTTTAGGAAAGGCCACAGGCCTGCAGAACTGAGAAGTTCATTTCCTGGTCTGTTCTGCTTACTATGTCATGTATTTTCTGCTAGGTTCTTAACCCTTTCCCAAAATCTTCCAATATCACTGTGGAGTAAGCAGGTACTTCATTTCTGTCTAGTTCATTTGCATGTGGCTCTTCTCAGTGAAACAGGGCAGAGATGGCTTGGACTAGGGGTTCATGGTGAGGTAACAGAGGGTGGGGCTTGTGCATTGTCTGTGTTGCTAAGAGGAAAGCTCTGAAAAGTGAGTCCATCTCTGCTCTTGGCTCACCTCATCACTGCAGCAAAAGTGAGTGACTCCTTATAGGTCCTTTCTTATACCCTCTGTTTCTACAAGAAACACCACTGCTGCACCACACAACCATTAATTTGCTGCTTTGGCACAGTGAATTTTATATTAACTAGGCCAGGTATAGGTCCTTATGTTCTCTTTAGGAGAACACCCTCTCAGCTACAGACAGACAGAAGTGAGAGGAACAGCATCATTCGAGCTAAACAGGATAACTTGCTGTTTTCTTTAATAGGCAGAATCTTGGAGCTACTGCCAGGAAATCTCTGAGCTTGTACGAAGTGTACCCACATCATTTGTGAAACTGGAGTTATCTGACAGAGGATTAAATGTTTGGCCCATAGGACTCAAGCAGCAATAAATCTATACTCTTTGAGGCTTAAGATGGATGTTTGTTTAGCTACTTGCTGCTACATACAGCAGGATTGAGTTTTTGTGGTCTCTCCTGGAAGACACCCTCAAAGTAAGCTTCTCCAGGAAAATTTAACTCTGTGATAATCTCCTGTGATTGAAGCAAGGCTGCAAGCTATAGACAGGTGTTTGATCCCCAAATCCATCTCCCATGGCTTAGTATTGATTGAGTTTAGGTAATGGTGGAAACTTCACTGCCCTTCTGCAGAGTGCTTATTTAATGTCCTGAAAGACATCATTGTGTCATCTCTGCTGAGTTGTCAGAATGAGGTTGCACAAGCCTCACTGCTTCCCTTTGTGTATGAGGAAAAGAGAGAAGCTAGAATCTGTCTCCCCAAACCCAGAGAATAGGAGATTATTATAGACAATAATAGCTTTTTGGAATCTTTACAATAATTGTTTCTCAGGGAGAACTATTATTTGCTTTTGAAATAACAGAAGGAAATGACTTTTTTTTCACCTGTGGATTCTGTGCAAAATTTCTATGCTCCAGGATGGATGAGTGGAAATCAGAGTTAATATATTGTGTTCAGAAATGCAGGACTTGATTCAATTAAAAAGCAGAGGTGTTAGTGTAATGGCTAAGGCCCACTCTTCAGTGACTTTGGATCTTTGTGCTCTAGAATTAATTTTAAAAAAGGTAGAAACCAACAAAGACTTGGGTTATTTTATCATGGACCTGGTACTCAGTCACACTCACCATGCATGGAATTGGGTAATATGCCCTTGCAAGCCTGACTCAGAAAAGGATATTTTGCATGGATTTTTTAGGTCATATTTTTACATCCTTTTCACCTTTGTCCTTCAAGACCACTTGTTTTGTTATTTTCTCACTGCTGGAGTAGTTAAAGGAGTTAAAGGAGGAAAGGATTATTTTAGCTTATAGTTTGTAGAAGTTTCAGTCCACGGTAAACTGGCTCCGTGACAGAAAAAACAGTCCATTCACAGCAGGCAGAGAGCAGCAAGACTTATTTCTATTTTCCCTTTATATTTCACCCAGATTGCAAGCCTATTGTTTAGTGCCACCTACACCTAGGGTGGGTCTTCCGTTTTTAGTAAATGTATCAATTAGCCACACCCAGAATTATGTTAAACCAGTTGCAGACTAACCCACTTTCCTACACCCATTATCCAGCATGACACACGCACGATTCAGTCACTCCCCAAAGCAAACAAGGCTTTGGAGGGGAGAGTCATCTAGATGGAAGCCATAGCACCAGCCCTTCCCACCTTTGTGGTAATTCAGAAAACAAATCAGGTAGACAGTTTTCTGATGGTGATGTTACAAGGAGTTTTGTCTTTCCTGTTTTGGAATGTTAATACTTGGCTTGTATCCTGAGAGCTCCATTTTTGATTTTGTCCCTTTGAGGGCAGAGGACACTGCAAGTGTCTGTACAATATGAGATTTTCCAGCTTGAGCCAGGTGTTAGTAGAAGTTTTGTAATATATTTGGTTTTAAGTTATAAGGAGTTGCATGTGAATCCAATGTCATTTGACTTTAGTGATACTTGGTCATAGCTTAGTATTGCATATGATTATGGACAGATCAAAATATTTTCTGCTCATCACAGTTTACTCTGTGCTCAATTATTGTGCTGATTTATAGTTAATAGTAGATCTTAGTTGTTTAAAGCTTTTGAGGTCTTAATTAGCAATTATTTCTTAACAGAATCATAGAAATTTAGAGTTTAAAGCTAAGATTTTCTAGCCCAGTCCCTCTAATGTATAATTTTTTAAGCCTAGAGAATGAAATTAATTTCCCTGAATGCTTCTTCCATTTTGCATATCCTATGGTCTTGTTAGTGGTACATAATATTTAACTTAAGGTTTCTTTCTTAGAATTACCTGACACTCCAAGTTCATAAAGTATACATTTTTTATTAAAAAAGAAGGTAAGTGCACATCAGCGACTCATCTTCTTGGTTAATGAGTATCTTCTGTCCAAGTCAAGATGCTTATGAGCAGGATATTTGGTGCTTCTCTTTTATTTTATTCACCAGATCTAACTTGACATGTACTATTAGAAATATTCTGAGATATGAATTACTCAATGTTGGGTTAGACTCACAATTTTAGGGACTGTTTGACAAACCAACCTGACCCAGTCTGGCAGAATCTAAATTCTCTTCTATTCACAAATACTGCTCATAGCAAATGAGGAAAAAAAGGCTTCAAGAATTCTGAGAGCTCATTTAAAGTTCATGAACATTTAGCAGGAATTATGTAATACATTTTGATTAGATTGCTGGACTATGTCACAAAAACATTCTTAACTCATACTTTTTGTTTCTGTTAGTTTGTGTGCATGTGTGTGTAGTAAAGAGACAATATTCCTCAAACTTAGATAAAGATTTTTTTAAAAAATAGGATTGTTTATTGGCTTATGTTCCTGAAGAGTCTAGGGATAGGTTTTACTTTAGAAATGGAGTGAACTGGGAATTGACATGATGCATGAGAGCCTTTACTCTCATTGTGTTGGCTTTGCTTCTTCTGTTTGGTCTCCATTTTCTTCTCTTTTGCCTCTAAAGGGAACAAGTTGGGCAGGTCCAGCCCATGCACTTCTAGGTTTCAGTGGAAGAACGATCTCTTTTGAAGTTCCCGCACAAATCTGATTGGACAAATTACAGTCACATGCCCATCTTTGGACCAATTCAAGTAGTGAAATACAGTGAGCTGACTGGCTAGGAATGGATTGTAGGTCCCACGTTTTGAGCTTTGGAGGATTGCCTACTCTTTTGAGCTTTGGAGTATTGCCAAATCATTCAAATGATTTGAATGTGGGTAAATTTTCAAAGGGAATGAAAGTAAATTCATCAAATAAAAAAATAATACGAGAAAGCCAGAAACAAAAGCTGTAATTGGTCTTATTCCAAAAAAGTTAAAGGTGAATTTTTAGACTAGGTTTTGAAGTAGTGTCTTTGTTACTTTTTACTCGTGGCTGAGACAAAAATACCTGACACCAAAAGTTAGGGAAGGAAAGGTTTATTTCTTACAGTTCTTGGCAGTTTCAATCCATACTAAGTTGGCTCCAAAGCAGCATAGCATGGTAGGACAGTCATTCAAGCCAGCTTCAAACAGCAAAAGTGAAAGCAAAACAGACCCCCCCCCCTCTTCCCACTGTTACACTGTCTTCACCCCTGGGCCTGTGAAACACTCGCACCATCAATCCAAGTGCTAGACAATGAGCCAATCACAGATGCTAGATTCAGTCACCTGTATGACTGAATGAGGCTTTGGGGGGACATTTAAATAAACCACAACAGGTAGTTTGATTTCAGTGCATTACTAGTGTGAAACTAGCTGGAAACCTGTATTGTTACTTATGCTTTCCTGGGCTATTGCTTCTCTTTCAGTTATAAATCTTTGATATATTCTGCTAGGAAAAAAAAAACAGTTTCAATGTTAGAATTTTAAGAATTTGCTTCTCAAAAGTGTAAACCTTACTTTTAAAGCATTTGGTTTGCCTGGGTCTAGTTAGACATGCAGAATACTATGTCCAATCCCAAATCTATTGAATCCGTACCAGCATTGTAGCAAATACCTGAGCAATTAGTGTAGATGTTAAAGGGTTTTTTTAAAATGACTGTTTAAAATTTTTACCCTGATTTAAGCAATCGGATTATCACATACTTCAGGGTTATTTTCTTTATATTTTTTCCTTGGAATTTATTAATCTTCTTAGATCAATATATCTTTATTCTTTCTTATCATTCAAAGACCTTATTATAAATATTTTAGGCTACACAATACTTTTCACAGTTTAGTTATCACTAATTTTCTGTTATTTTCCCTTCGTGTTTCCTTTTGGATGTTTTTAATTTCTGTATCTTCAAGTTTCCTTATTTTCTTCAACAGAGTTTCTAAGCCACTATAAATACTGTCTAGTATGCATATTTTTAATCTCCATCATTGTATTTTTTCCTCTAGAAGTTCAAATTAGTTCCTTTAAAAATAGAAGAAATCTTTATTGGGATTGCATTGAATCTGTATAACAGCTTTGGGAGAATGGCCATTTTCACAATGTATGTTTTGAGCAAGGGATGTCTTTCCATTTTCTGAGATCATCTTCAAATTCTTTTTTCAGTGTATTATAATTTTCCCTGTATAGATCTTTCACTTCTTTTGTAAGAGTAATTCCTAAATATTTCATTTTTTTGCTTACTAGTGTGAAGAGTGTGGTTTCTCTTATCGTATCCATGTAAAAGTATGCATAATGTCTATTAGTTATGTTATCTATATCATTACTGCGTATTTTTAGTGTTGGATTTGTTTCTTTATTTTGAGTGCCATTTTCTTGTTTCTTTACTTAGCTGGATTTTTTTATTTTTTATTTTTTATTTTTTGGTATTGGGGATCAAACTCATGACCTTGCGCCTGCCAGGCAGGCGCTTATGCCACTGAGCTAAATCCCCAGCCCAGACAACTGGAAATTTTTATTGTATGCCAGAAATTGTATACTTTACCTTGTTTTTTAAGTTTCTGTATTCTTTTTTAAGTGTTCATGCACTGTATTTTGGGACATGATTGATTTAGAAACAAGTTGATGATAACCATGGCTTGCTCTTATCTCTATCATGTTGTATCTCAAATCTTCAGTGAGAGAATTATGCTCTAACATTTCATGAGCCCCAATTACATTTTTTCGTTGCTCATTCTCACAGACTTTCCTTATTTTGTAAAGAGGTTTCTGGTGACTTTTACTCTGTGAATGATGTATCTTTGATAAATCAAGGTTTATAAAACCACTGGTAGGTTGAATATGTCTATGGAAAGTACAAGTAATTTAATATTTTATATTATATTTACTATTAATTTAATATGTACTATTGGGGCTGCTTTTTATGTAAAAGTATGAGAAATTAGAAGTTTTATTCTAAATCAATGAGATAGGGTAACAGTACAAACAAAAGAATGTAAAAATCCACCAGCCAAGTCTGTGACCATTTGAAACCATTCTACATTGACATGAGGTCAGATAGTGAAGAAAGGGGAAACAACTGTTGGTCCAGCATCAGTTTGAACCCTTTACCATCTCATGCACACAGCTTTGGAAAATGAGGATTGTAGGCTTCATTAACATTTACAGATTGTTCTATATTAATGCCTGTTATAACTTATACTTGCAAACCCTTGAGCACTCGTACATGGGGCTTTTCAGATATGGCTCGGTCTAAGGTGTGTGATTTCTGAATTAGTCCCCTAGTTGGATCAGCATAGTTCTGGGTGACATTGAATGGATTCATGACAGAAGGAAGCCCCACCCTGGGCATGGGTATCACCAGTCAGTAGTCTTATAGCCTGGATGGAATGTAAAGGGACAGAAAGTGTCGATGTCCGCTCCCGGCCGGCAGGAAGGACACACGACAAAGCCTGGCAGTGGACAACCTTTTCTTTTATTTTCCTTCTCCGTACAGCCTGCCCTGGGATCGCTCCCAGCCGAAGCCTCCTCTGGTCCGCTCCCCGCGGCTCCTTCTGGGCTTCTACTTTCGGGCTTCTTCTTCCCCCCCAGGGGTGGCACCGGTATATATACGGATACAGTGTCCAATCATGTTAAAGTAAGCAAGGCAAGCTGATTGGCTAACATCATCAGTTGCCAGGCAGACTATATTGTTGAGCGGGTTGCTTACGCGGTAAGCAGGAAACTAACGTGCTCGATGGGAGGGGTAATCTACCTCAGGCTTTACTCTTTACTACAGGCCTCACGTCCGCCAAGTGAGGCGACCGGGCTCGGGGCTGCGGCTCCCAACATCTCCCCCTTTTTTATTTTTTTTATAAATGTGCGCATCGTAGCCCTTCCTGGACTGGGTGCAGAGGCTTATGCCCTATGCGTAGGCCCACCGTAGGTCCTTGGCTTAGACCCTGGTCGGCCGTCCCATGGTCTGTCAAGGCCCTGAGGCCCTCGTCCTTTTTCTAGGGCCAGGCACAAACTGGACGGAACCTGGATGCACACAAGCTTGCACTCATTTCCTCTCTGTAAAGAAATCCCCTCGGAGAGAAATTTAGACCTGGGCAGCATCTAACAGTCCAGCGGCTTACGTGCAGGATGGGGTAGGGCCTGGCTTAGGTCGAGTCGTGCTGGGGAGGCACGCTCTTACCCGTCATTGACTCACCTACCCTACTGTGTATTGTCACCTTATGGAGGAGAATGAGGGATGCCCGCCATATCTAGACTCGGTCGTGGGCCAATTGAGCAAGCCATGCATATGCCTGAGGATCTTCTTGTCCATTTCGGGCTACCGCTATTTTTATTCATCTTATTGGTTGGTCTGTGATGGATCTCCAGTAGGGCAGGTCTGATCTTCAGTCGAGGGCTTTGTTGCCCGTGTCAGTCTCTCCGGTATCCACAGTGGTTCTCGTCCCGGTTCCTGTGGGAAAACACAAACCGCGCCTCGGTTCCAGCTGATTACCGGATCCGGGCCCATCCATTGTCATGCCATAGATAACCGCGCCTTTGGAGGCAGGCCTTGGCTTACTCCCCCTTTTTGTTTTTTATTTTTTATTTTTATCTTTTTTTTTTTTTTTTTTTATTGGTACCAGGGATCGAACTGGCGATTGCCTGCTTACAAGGCAGGCGCTTATGCCACTGAGCTAAACCCCCAGCCCCCCTTTCCTCGACCGGCGTTTTTCTCAGCCTGCTCGGCAGAGAACTCTGTGTACCAGGCTCGCCAATCCAGGTAACTGCCCGAGGGCAGACACGCCTTTGCCAGCTGAATCCAGTCCGCGGGGGTGAGGGGCCCAGAAGACAGGTTCTCTAGCATGGCAATGGTGTAAGGCACAGTCGGCCCAAAGGTTGTAACTGCATTTTTAAGTTCTCTAATCTGCTTTATCTCAAAAGGCTCCCATACATTGCGTCCCTGGCCCATAGCTACTTGTACAGGAAATATCCCGTAGGGGCCACTATCTATCCCAGGTGGATGTACCTCATGAGACAAGCGTCCCCCCTGCCAAAGCCGCCTGTAAAAATACCGACCCGCCGGCGGCGGAGCATAAGACAGCGGCCGTGATTGGGCGGAAAATGGGGGCCCGTGCATCACTTCCTGTTCTGGCGAAAGGGGAGGGAGCCCCCAGGCGGCCGCCCCGTGGCGAGGGATCGCCTCCCTCTCGTGCCGGGGAGCGCTCAGGAGCTCTCTACTCCTCCGCAGACCAGGTTGAGCAGAGTGCAATTCGCGGGGCAACGCTGGAAAAGAACCCTGCGACTCCTTATTGAGCGATTTGGGCTCCTGACAGCTGGTCTCTTTGGCCTCCTTGCCATTCAACTTTCCCTCGTCCTCGGAGTCAGACGACTCCGAGGCTAGAGCCCCGTCCTCCTCCTTAGCATCCTTGTTCCCCTTGACGGGCCCCTCTCGGGAGCTCCCTGACTGGGCCTGCTCAGATACCCTGCGTACTTTTGTAAGCTCTTGAGAGCTTTTTCCACAACCACCCTCGCTTTTAGTGTTGCTACCTAACATGTTTCCCATCTTTTAATATGTTACTCACCGCGTGAGGCCCAAGGAATCCGCCACTTACGCGTGAGCCTGAGGGGAGTCTAAAAGCCCTGTAGGTGCGCGCCACCCAGAGCCCAGGCTTATCCCCAACTCACCTGTCTCGCAGCTCTGTACTGGAGCGTTGTCCACTTCCACGTCTCGGGGGTGATCAGTCCCCGTACGGGCCACCAAATGTCGATGTCCGCTCCTGGCCGGCAGGAAGGACACACGACAAAGCCTGGCAGTGGACAACCTTTTCTTTTATTTTCCTTCTCCGTACAGCCTGCCCTGGGATCGCTCCCAGCCGAAGCCTCCTCTGGTCCGCTCCCCGCGGCTCCTTCTGGGCTTCTACTTTCGGGCTTCTTCTTCCCCCCCAGGGGTGGCACCGGTATATATACGGATACAGTGTCCAATCATGTTAAAGTAAGCAAGGCAAGCTGATTGGCTAACATCATCAGTTGCCAGGCAGACTATATTGTTGAGCGGGTTGCTTACGCGGTAAGCAGGAAACTAACGTGCTCGATGGGAGGGGTAATCTACCTCAGGCTTTACTCTTTACTACAGGCCTCACGTCCACCAAGTGAGGCGACCGGGCTCGGGGCTGCGGCTCCCAACAAGAAAGAAGGCAAGCTGCTGCTTTGGACTACTTGCTGTATATGGACTGTTTCTCCTCAGCTGTGTTCCTCTGCCATGCTGAGCCTGCAGACTGTCTTGGAGCCAGTAGACTACTGAACCCTCTACAAACTCTGAGCTAAAATAAGCTTTTACTCCTTTAACTTATAGGGGTGAAGCAGTGAAAAATAACTGCAACAATGCCTAATGGACACCATTCGTTTCTGCCACTTCCCTTGGTAAGTCAACATTATCTCTGACTTAGCCTTATGCAAAGATTCCCAAAGTAATCATCTGTTCATATCCTTGGTATATTGTAGTCTTGGTTCATATATTCATCCAGAGACACATTTTAAAAGCTCATTTCTGATCCTATTACTTCACTGCTTAAAGTCTTTTAATGGCTTCTCAAAATGCTTAAGAATGAAATCTAAGCTCCTTTACTGTGATCTGTACTGGCTTGCTTTCCAACTCATCTTCAATGGCTTGTCCTCCCATTTCCAGTAACCCTGGATTATTTCCTGTTTCTTTGTCCCACCAAGAGCTATTTTTTAGAAAGCAAAACAGAAAAAAGTATAGAGATAATACAGAGTTTCAAAAAAAATAGCAGTAAGAAATCAACACTAGTTGATTAATGTATTACATATTATATTAATATGTATTAATACATTACATATTGTTAGAAGTTCAAGTCACAAAATTGAAGCATAAAAAATGAACAGAAAATCAAACAATGACAGCACAAACTATTCTTTTTGATCAACTAGCAGAGAATTAGTAGTATGATTATCTATCTTGCACACTTAAACATACATACAGTTATATGTATACCTACAAGTTATTCTTTCCTTTTGAGCCCTTTCTTCCCCTTTCATTGTTAAGATATCTGTTATACATTTTGGATCTTATTAGTCTTTCAGTTTATTATTATTTTTATTATTTATTTTTTACACTAGAGAGACAATACAATATTTACAAGTATGAGTCTGATTTAGTTCACTTAGTTTTTACTCTTAAGTCTTTGCATTTGTTGCTATATTTTTCTATTTTCCTTTCTGCTTCCTGTTATTTATCTGGTCTCTTTTTATGTCTGGCTCCTCTTCCTTTAAATCTGAGCTTGAAATCTTAGAGAAGCCTTTCTGCCTACATAAAGTACCTTCCTCCATAAAATCAAGTAATATTCTTATAATTTTCTTAATATAATTTACTACAATACAGAATTCTCTTAGTTTGTCTGTCTTCCCCCATTAGGATATAAACGTCTTAGAGATGGGTACCTTGTCCATGTTGTTCACAGCCATATGCTCATGTGTAGAATATTCTTGGCACATGCCATCCACTTGCTGGCTATTACTGAATATAAAAAGAATCACAAGATCACTTTTAGTACAAAGAGTATTTATAGTACACAGTTGATATTAGAGCTTGTTCAGGCTCATTCTGACTGTCTGTGGCACTACTCTGAATGGCTGGTGCCTAAATATACTAAACTTTACATATATGACACGTTAATATGTGGCAAGTTGATGTATTTGGTAATGCTTTCTTTGTATGCCAATAAACCTGTTTTGTGTGTGCTAGACTTGAGAATCTATGGTGAAAAATGAAAATCTTCTTTGCAGAAGTAGATTTTTGACTAGGTTTTTGCTTCTCAAAACAAATGGAATCTTAGGAGACTTCATATGCATAAAAGAATGCACTAATATATTAGCATATATTTTTCATAATTTTCTGTGTTTTAAGTCTAAAGTATTCCCCTAAAGCCTTGTGTGTTTGGAAGATGATTGGATCATGGCGGTGCTACACTTGTTGGTGGATTCAGCCCCTGATGAGTTCAGTAGCTGAATGTGCTGTTAGGAGGTGGGGACTGGTTGGAAGTAGATCACTTAGGGGATTTTCTTGTCCCTAACTCTACTATTGCCTTTTCTTTCTGCTTCTTAGCTGCCATGGGATGAGCAGTTGTCTTCCACTGGGTCGTTTGTGCCTTGGAGACAGCCAGCTTTGGATTGAAACTGTGAGCCAAATTAACCTCTTTTTATTTTGATTTGCAGATGTCACATATTTTTTCCAGCAACAGGAAAGTGACTAATACGATGTATCTATCTATCTATATCTGTATATGATGTATGTATGTGTGTACATACAAAAGGGGTAATGCATTTACTTATATAAGTATATATATAAATATAATTAAGTTGTTAGAATTGCACGTGGAAGAAGGAAGAAATATATTTGTGTGTTTAATGGGGTAATATATATGTTTATGTGTGTATGCATGTAAATATTCATGCAGTGTTACTCCATTTCCAATCATAATTAGGTACATGTGTAACTTCCATGAACTGTAATCTGAAATGTTTACCTAAGGAACAATATGCCCTACTTAACTCTTTGATTCCTTTAATGAAAATTATATAGTCAGTTACTATTTGAAAATATGATATTTTTGAACTTCATGTTATGGAGTGCTGTTGATTTTGTCAGAAAGTAAGATTATGGTGGGATTCCCAGAACCAAGAAATACATTTAGGGCAAAATTTCACTGATTTTCAAAAGTGTTTTCCTTTTTTTCACCTGTGCTTCTCACAGGACTGTGAAAAAGAAGATAACACTTCATAGAGTGGAACAATGCACAGCCGTGTTCTGTGGTCCTTCATGCTATTTTAGGTGTGTTGTTTTCTATTCAAATGATTCCCTGATGTGGTTGCCTGTTAGAGCAAAGAATCAACAGGGTCTTTTGGTAACCATGGAAGCCACCGGCTCTCCAATAAGTTATTTTTAGATTGCTTCACTGAATAAATTTCTCTTACTTTGTAAGAGGAAAATAATGTAATATGATCTTTACAATTTGAGGCCACAGCTATGTAAAGAGAAAGGGATGTTGAGAGAGGAGGATTTTATATTGCTGCATTTTAATGATGATCTAAATCCTAGTCCAAATGAGACTTGAGAAGTTACCCTAATAGTAGGCACTTAACAGAAATGTGGGACTATCAAATAGCTCTCAATAGGTCTTCAAATTTTAGAATATAACTTCTATCATTCTTTAAATCTGGATTTTTTTTTCCTCTACTAATCATAGGCTCAAAGAGAACCATCAAATCTTGCTAGTATTTTTGCGGAGGGTACTATGTGTTATGGTTTGTGTCTAGATGTTCTCCTAAAGCCTCATGTGGTCATGGGGGATGGACTTTTCAGAGGCAGCAGAATCTAGAGTTTGTGATTGATCCATAGTGTAATGGAGGGATTAGGGTGTGAGTGCTATGCACTAGGGTGGGTTGCCTGCATACAATAAAAGAGATGGAAAGAGGCTTGTTTTTTCCTGCTCTCTAGTTGCTTTTGGTATCTTCTGGTGTCATAAATGGTTGTTTCTCTGCCATGCCATCCTGCCTTGGAGCCAGCAGGTTATGGACTGAAACCTCTACATACCATGAGCTAAATAAACTTTTCCCCTTTTAAATTTGGGTGTCAGATATTTTATCTCAGCAATGAAAGATAAATAACTAAGACACTATGAAAGGAGTTTGGCCTCTGAATTCCCAGTTAGAAAGATACATAGGAACATTTGGATAGGTTATTTAATTGAAATTGGGCCTCCCTTCAAGCTACTTAGGAAAAAGGAAGACAAACATGGCCATGGATGAGCTAGGATTTCCTAACAATAAACTCCTGTTGCAGCGTTATTTTGGAAAGCTGTGTTGATAGAAATGTTTAAAAACACTAATTAAGAATTCTCCCCTGACCAAGGGAAAAATTACATTTTGCTCCTGGAAATGTCTCTTTAATATTCATGTTGTTATTGTTATTTATAGAGTTTATGAAAGGATTCAAGGGTACATGTCTGCTTGGTTCCTTTTCTCTTGTTGCTGAGACAAAATATTCAACACTCAAAATGAAGTAAGTAAAGATTTATTTAGTTATTTAGCTTGTGGAGGTTTCAATCCATAATCAACTGGCTCCAAGGCAGGGTGGCATGGCCCTGGGGCAACACTTCAAGGCAGGAGTTAGAAAAAGCAGCCAGAGCAAGAGGGGTGGTGACATGAGTAAGCCTCTTTTTCCTTCTTTATATTGTACACAGGCAACCCTGCCCCTTCCAGGATAGGGGTAGCACTCACAAAATCTCTGTTCCCTTCTCTTGCACAGCCTGAGGATATTTACAAAATAAGGTCCTGGCTCCCTTCTGAGTCATAGTTAAATTTGTAAACTCAAGTTGACACAGTGTATCAACCATAACAATCCACCCCTTGTCAATTTGGCAACCAGACACATTTCTTTGAACCTGTTACAAGATACTAGACATGCTTATTCTTAATATTTCACAACTTGAACATTATAACACAGGTTTAACAATACTTAAGAACAATACTTAATACATTAAGTCTATCAACATTATATTACATTAGAACCGTAACATTTTGCCCTTGGTCCCCTAAAGACTCATACACATTCCTCAAGGAAAAAGGCATTTAGTCCATCTGCAAGAATGGCCACAGTTCTTACAGTTTCAGCATTGCTGAAAAGTCCAAATACCAAGTCTCCTTCGAGATATAAGGCAAACCCTTAGCTGTATACCCCTGTACAAATGCAAACAAAATTAAACACTTCCAACACGCAATGGCACAAGATAAATTTTCCCATCTCAAAAGGTACACACAGGGATATACAAAGCATTGGGACCAAAGCAAGTCCAAAATCCAGCAGGGCAAATGCAAAATCCTGTAGTTGCATATCCAATATTTAAAGTAATCTGTGACAAATTGTGAGCTCCAAGGGCTTGTGTGGTTCCATCCTATGACATTTCTGGTAGTGGTAGCCCCCACAGCTTTTCTCTTAGGCCTGCTTTGTTCTCTCCTTGCAGCTTTCCTTAGATGATCCATGTTCCTGGCTTTTCCAAATTTCTAGAGTCTCAGCTGCACCTTTGGCTTCACCCTCACAGCTTCCCACTCATATCTTCGCACACTGCCCTCACAGGAGCACACTGACTAGCCATCCAGGCCTTCTGAAATTAGGGTAGAAGCCTTTTAAACCTCAGAACTCTTACATTTTGTATGCACCTTAAAACCTGCACCACTTGGATGATGCTGCGGAATGCTGCCAGCTGGAGCAGTAGGCAGGTGCTCCCTCTTTTGACTATAGGGGCTGAGTGCCTGGAATTGGACACTCTGAATCCAATTCAGAGGAACAAATTTTGTGTGCTGCTGCCATTCTGGAGCATAATGTGGCCATCACTATTCTAGAACATTATGCTCTGCAGCTTTTGCCTCAGAGGAAAGTCTTTCACTTTGGTAGTTTTGAGGCTGCAAGGGTTTGAGACTTGTTGCTTTTTGTGATACCTGCAAGCTATCTTTTCTATTTGGTTACTTCTCAGCAATAGAGATCTCAGCTCTACCTTGAAGGCCCACAGCTTCACTGGAGCTTCCTTTCTGGTCAGATTCACAATGTTTTAAATTATCCTGCTGGGCTCTTTTTTCTTGATTCACAGCATAAATCTGGCTAAAAGCCCCCAATAATAGCTTTGCCACTGCCTCAACATTCAACTGCCTTGAAATTTTCTTCTGCCAGATTAATTAGTCCTTTGCCCTTAATTTTGGTCTCAGGCAAAGTCTCTGGACATAAGCAAAATGCAGACAAACTTTCTGCCAAGTCATTACACACATCATCTGGAGTCCAACAACCATTCCTTCTTCCTAGCAGAAACCTTCTGAGCCTGGTCTCTCCTGGTTTTCTGGTCTTTTGAGCTCTGACCAGAATCTCTCATATAAAGCAGCCTAAATTATTCCAGGGGTACTCTTTCAGATGACATCTCTGAACCTTTTCAAACTCTTCCCACAAGCCATTTCCAAAGGCTTTTGAATCATATGGTCAGGTATAATCACATCTATGGCCCCACTTCTCTGGTACCAGATTCTGTCTTGGTTACTTTTCTCTCCTCCCTGGGACAAAATACCTGACGCTCAAAATGAAGATAGGAAAGATTTATTTAGCTCACAGTTTGTGGAAGTTTCAGTCCATAATCAGCTGGTTCCAAGGCAGAGTGTCAAGGCACTGGGGCAACACTTTAAGGCAGCAGTGAGCAAAAGCAGTAGAGCGAAAGGCAGGGCAAGAGCAAGCTTCTTTTCCTCTCTTATATTGTACATAGGCCTTCCCCCCCTTCGGGGCAGGTGCAGCACTCACAAAATCTCTGTGCCTTCCTCTTGCACAGGCTGAGGATATTTACAAAGTAAGGATCCTGGCTCCAGGCTGAGTCTTAGTTAAATTTCTAAACTCAAGTTGACATAATATGAACCATAATAATGCCTAATATAGACTACTGGTGGACAAGTGGAGATATGATGCTGTCTTACTCCTGGGATGAGGTTTCTGATCAGTTGACTTTGAGTTCGTTAACAGAAACTTGCAGATGTGTCTCATCTAGTTGAGTGAGTCCTTTAAAAGATGGTTCAGTATCAGAAATAAACTCTCTCATTGACATAATAGAAATCAAATAGGCCTCTTCTAGGAGGCAGGGTACTATGTAGTGGGGGCCTGAAACTGGTGTCCAGGAACTGAAAGTGGTCCTCAGGCAACAACTTGTAAGAAAACAGCGACTAATGTCGTACAGCCTTAAGGAAAAGAGTTGTGTCAAGCACCCATAATCTTTAAACAACTCTGAGCCTCTGAAGAAATCAGAGCTCCAACCAACTCTTGATTTTAGCCTTCAGGAGCTTAAGCAGAGAGTCCAGCAAATTCCTACTGATTCCTGATTCACAGAAACTCCGACAGTAAATTTGTGCTTTGGGTGCTTAGTTTGTCACGATATTTTATACATGAGTAGAAAAGTAATAACTCATTTTGCCTGTCTCAGTTCAAGTGTCTCTTCCTCCAAGAGCCTTCTCTGAGTCCTCTGATGTCTTATGCTCTTTTGCAGTCACCCTGATTAATTATCTTATTAGCACTTAGTAGAATCTAACTCTTTCTTCTTTGCTCCCTAATTTGACACTTATCCCCAGGACCTAGAAAGTCACCTACACATAGTAGGAAC